TATGTAGTTGTTAGACTAGAACTCCTGGTTTCATTTATACTTTGCAGTAAAACACTTGTAAGCTTGTATCTTTATGCAGTTCATTTGTTACTATAAAGGTAGCATCTATTGAGTGCTTCCCAGTATCCTCAGAACTTCTGGAAGCATTCTACATGAATTAATTCATTTAACTATATATGAGTGAGTAAGCAAGTATAATTTCTTAAAGTACCAACTTAAAGTCAATGGGACTGTCACCAGCATCCTAGACAATGGGTAACATTATGAAGCTCATGAGTATAAAAACAGCTCATTGACCTTGCCTCATAAGTTCTTAGAATATTTCCCAGAGCTCTACTATTTTTATCCTCTTAGTCTTATTCTTATTTAATACATCAGCAGTAAGACACTTCACAGTCTATATGTCTACAGAAACACAAAATTTTTTGGCATTAATTCCCGTTATAGTAAAGAATGCTTTTCCTGTAGTTTCTTAGAAAGCACAGATTTTCTTAAACCATATGTGCTTCAAATATGAGCAACCTATATGCGAATAATTACAATAAGAAAAAGGAGTATTAGTTTTTTTCCATTCAAACAGAAGGAATTTTTGTTCAAACAGGGAATTAATTTATAATTCAGTATTTACTTGTTTATAGTTGAAGATATCTTAAAGTATTATAAAAATGTAACTTGGTATTATTCCTTTTTATCACATAATAAAGTAAAAATATTTTTCCCTTTTCTATCATCATAAAATAGTATCACAATGGGAAGATTTCATGGCAAAAAATAGTTGAAATTTAGGGAATTTTTTTACTTAATTTAAAATGTCATATTTTATATACTCTAAAAAGTTTCTGTTGTAATCCTAGAAGCTATTATGTCCTGATACTACACAGAGACTAACAAACCAAATGTAAACATGTTGCTGTCTTCAATTTCTAGGACTTGGAAATACAATCCATGTGACTAGTTTCATAACACACATTAATAATTGGTTAAAGCATATAACAAATGACCAATTTTGTATATTGCTATGCTAAATATTCTTAAGACTCTAGTGTAGTCCTTTTGAATTCAGTCTCATTTAATTCTATGAGTGGATTTATGGTGATATATCATACCCATTGCAAATGATATTTCTCATACTTGTCTCTATTTCCTTGAAGGATACTCAGTTGGAGCTGGTCATTTTTGGAGTAGGCATACTATCGAAGTAGTTGGAGGGGCCCCTCAATATGAACATATTGGTAAAGTAAGATATACATTTGTATATTTATCGCTTTACAAAGGCTTGAATAGATTGCATGAGAAAATAAGTCATTAGAGGAGGAACTGCAAAAATTCTAAGGAATGAAAGCTAGCAATGATAAGCAGTTTGCTACATTTAGTGAAATTGGTGAAAGTTGTATGGCGTTTAGATAAAATTTAGCAGAAAAGCCTTTAAGAAAAATTATGTAAGTCGAATGAAACTTTTCCTCCATATGAGTACATTGTTTCTGGAGAGAATTATCTCAAGATATCTAGGGAATATATTTATTGGTTACCAAGTTTACAGCTGAAGGGAAATTGAGACAGCTATATGTTTTATGGTATGATTAGAAAGAGTAAGATGTTATTTCTGGCTCTAGTTTTTGCTACATTGTCATGTAAATGTTACTAAATTTTTCTGAGCCCTGATTTGAAAAGGGAGGCATAACAAGGCTCCCTGTGTTCTCTCAAGGATCAATAAGTTAGTTCCTGAGAAGGTAGTTTTGCAAGGAAGTCACGTTAATGTGAACGTGGTTTCCTAAACCTTTGGTATCACCCTGAAAAGGATTTTTAAAAATATATTTGAGTAATCACAATATTGATGTTTTGATCAAATGAAAATTTGTTTTAATGTGATAACAGTCTACATTGTCTAATTATTTTCCCAATTGCAGGCATATATACTCAGCATTGAAGCAAAAGGACTAAATATCTTACATGTAATGAAAGGTAAAAAGGTAATATGTCTCTCCCTTTGGTATCACTGAGAGCTTTTGTGAATAACCTTGCTTTTTTCTCAACGACTGGATCTGGTTTGCTTTGGGGCAGCTTGGATCTTACTTTGGAGCTTCCGTCTGTGCTGTGGACCTCAACGCAGACGGCTTCTCAGACCTGCTTGTGGGAGCCCCTATGCAGAGCATCATCAGGGAGGAAGGGAGAGTGTTTGTGTACATCAACTCTGGCTCGGTAAGTCCCGTGGCTGCCAATCTGAGAGCCATTTACAGTATTATGATAGAAATTGAAACTCGTCTTATTCCAGAATTCTGAGACTATAGATTCTTAGGCTTATTTTACTTATGAAATTGAAAATTCTGCTATTGTACTGATGCTGTAAAAACGAGATGGAATATGGCGATAACTGGGCAGCTAGCTGTCCCATTTTAATATTCCAGAAGTATGAGATCAGTTGTTCAGTTGTTGTAGAGTTTCTCTGTTCATAGCTTGTCTGTTTTCTTGTTGAAGTTTCTTCCAGCTTTATTGCACAAATCTAATTTGAAGGAATGATTCTTTTATCTCTCAAAATGTGGATTTCTTAGTGGTTCTGTAGTGAATGTTCTTATAGAATTTAATAATTATAAAACATTACTAAGAGTAGAAGATAACATATGAATTTTTTTTCAATTTCTTGATTTGACAACTGGAAATAAGACATGTTTTGATTAAATGTTAATTTGTACACTTAATAGATTACATTCTTGATAAGATAATAAAATGGATGTAATTTATTCCAAAGTATATATAGCAGTTATAGAAATATGTAATTTCTGCTTATGGTTGAGTTTTAAATTATGGAGGATAGGTTGGAGTAGAAACTGAACATTTGACAGTTCAACTTAAAGAGTTCTTATGGCCTTGTCTTGCCAGTCATCTTCTTGGCATTAAATCAAAACAAAGAATTTGTAGGCCCTCAATGGGGTCTTCTTGATTTAAGAGCAAGACTTTGTTTGTGAGAAAATTAGTTCATTTCTAAGGCATAGAATTTGCAGTCAGGAGTTTACATAAAACCTGTTTCAAGAAGGTATCTGTAATTTATTTAATCAATGGTTTCAGAGCATTTAATAAATTCCTACTGAGAGAATCAAAGTAAACTAAAATTTAAGAGAAAATACTGTCTTATAAAGCTGAGAGATTCTCAAAGTTCCAAATATGGAGCAGGAAAATTATTTATGCATTGGCATTTTCTTGACTATTGTTGAAACTTAAATGTAATAGTGAAAGCATCATCTACAAAATGATCATACTTCATTAATAGTGATATTAGGCATTACTTTTTCTTGCTTAGATATTTCACATTTTTTCTATCCACAAATGGTCTTCCTTATACTAGCTACATCCTTCCCTTTACAACTAAACTTTTTGAGAACAGTTTAAACAGTAGCATTCGAGGTATGATAAAAAAATAGGGTGTGTTTAAATTAAAAAAATATTCATTACACTAAAAGACACATTACCATTATTCCCCCCTCACTTTGAACACACTTATCCCATCATTCTTGACACTTTCTGAAGCAGTTCTGGAAGTCCTCTTTCATGAGTGTCTTTAGTTGCACTGTCGTGGCTGCCTCCATGTCCTGAATCATTTTGACTTTGGGGAAGAGCCAGAAGTCACATGGTGCCAGATCCGGTGAATAAGGTGGATGAGGACACACCATAATGTTTTTATTTGACAGAAATTGCCATATAACAGAAGCGATGTGTGATATGGGGAGCACTGTCGTGATGGAGGATGATTTACAGCACACTTTAAAACACACCTTCTCTCAACGTAGCTCACGCCCAGCTGACTGCACTGAACAAGTTGAAACTTGTCACACACTGTTACTAAGGTTGGACACACCACTTCCCGTATTGAAGATCCCTGTCTTTCCATTGGATGACACTCAGCAGCAGCCTTCACTGTATTTTGTGATCACAATGTGTCACGTATCACTTCCCAATGGGCAATTTCTGTCATATATACCTCAAATAAGGCAAGAGGTGACCTTTTTTCCCCGTTGAAATGTTAAGCAATCCCAATATGAAAAGCAGATAAGAGCGGAGCTCCTTTACTTAAAGGGTAAGAGTGGATCCCTTGCTACAAGGTTGCCTTTTTGTTCTTCCCTCAGGCCTACCCAGAGGCACCACTGTTGAACACTGGGATTAATTTAATAATTGATTTCAGCTTTTAAAACTTCCGGCATAGATTACTCCTCCTTTGTTTCCTTCTAACTTCCTGTTTCTTACCTCTCTAAAAAGGCACTAACCACTACCACAAAGGTGTTCTATTACATCTTTATTGGTTTGGTTTGCTAATATCTGTTCCTCTACTGGAATGTAGACACTGTGTGGAGAGGAACCATGTCTTGTTTACCACTGTGTCCTCAGGGCCTGAAAGAATCCTGGACAAGTAGGTGCTCAGTAATTGTTTTTGAATGAGGTCAGGAAACAATGATACTTGAATGAATATGGCTTCTACCTACTTCTACTAACATAGTTCTCAGGGGACCCTCACAAACACTTGGTCACCGTTCTCTGTGCCTGGAGGATACTTGAAGAAGAGTTATTATCACTTTTTGAATCTCTCCCCCTGGAGCTTCAATGCCACGATATTTTCTTAGGCCTGCACCGTCTCGTCCTTGCTGGAGTCTCTTCTGCCTTCTGCTCTTTAAATGAAGGCCTTTCTCCAGGATCAAGACAAGTATAGGGACTTTTTAGTTGGAAAATAAAAGGTGAAGGGCACTTGCCCAGGGGAAGAATATATGTGTGCTTAGGGTATAATGAATAAATTTGTTTGAGAAGATGAATTAATTTAGGATGAATAGTGCATGGAATTTTTTGTTTTTCTCCAAGGGAGTGACAAGATCGGAGTTTGGAAAGAGTCTGGTAACTGTTACTGCGACATTATTGAATGTCTTATTGTAATAACTCATCTTCCAACGTCAGAGATAGCAGCTGACTAATGCATGTTCCACCGCTGCTGGAATAAGGTTCCAAAGGCCAGCTTCGGTTGTTTCACTCCTCAACTCAGAAACCTCCAGTAGCTTCCTCTTGTTCCCAAAATTCAGCGTAAATTTCCCCTGGCATTCAAAGTCCCACACTGTAAGACTCCAATCTGAGTTTTTCATTCATTATACACACTGTTCATTATAGCCAAATTCTTTGGAATTTCTGTTTGCTGGTAGTAGTCTCTATATATCAAAATTATGCCCATCCTTCAATAGCCACTTTGAATATCCTTTACGAAACCTCTCCCGGCTCTCACAATTAGTTATGCTCTCCTTGCTTCTGGATATGACAAAGCAATCTGTACTTCTAAGTCATTTACATGCCTATGCTAAGCCTTGCCTGTGACTGCAGACTTCTTCAGGAAAGGGAGTGTGTCTTATAAATACACTGCCTTGTCCTCTTGCACTCGTTCAGTCTTTGCACAGTGCAGTGTCTTTAGTAGGAACTCGATAAATATTTACTAAATTCAATTATCAAAATGATTTATTGGTTTTTCAAAGCTAGGAATCATGAGTTTAAAACATTTTTATGTGCTTTGAGCTCTAATCATACTATTATATGTATTGACATATACTTGATAAATATTTATTGAATTAAACTGAGATGTGTGTACTAAAGCTCAGTCTGCAGTTTGTCCAACTTGTTTGAAGAATCAGAAAAAAAAATCCATACCCAATTACAACAGTAAATCATGTGTAAAATTGTCAGGGCGTGTTATAATGACACCTTTCTCCCCCTTTCTATCTAGGGGGCAGTAATGAATGAAATGGAAATAGAGCTCATTGGAAGTGACAAATATGCTGCAAGATTTGGGGAATCTATAGTTAATCTTGGAGACATTGATAATGATGGCTTTGAAGGTAATTAAAAGTATCTAATTTGGTACTTGATTTCCACTTTTAAAATGGTCCATAGAAGAGAATATAATTGGGGTTTTATGTTGTTTGTCTTTTTATAGAAAATGGAGCTAGAATGGTTTGCTGTTTGTTTTTTTGTTTGTTTTTAGTGTTACACCTGACTTCTCTCCTTAGTTGTCAGCTGTTGATTCTTACTGTTATTAATGAAAAATGATATTCAAAATACTATATTTCATTGATTCTAAGGCACCATTCATTATAAGTTGCATATTCTGTGTGCCCCTAAAAATGCTGTCTATTAAACTGTGACCCACCATTTTTCTATATTAAGCACTCTGATTTCAAAAATGTTAAAACGTGAAAACAATGTATATCATAGACTTGTTGGACCATATTCTTTAGCTATCAGCATGATAAAGACACTGACAAAACCCAACAGAGGCTGGCTGCAGAGTGGGGGCAGGATTCTGGAAGCCCCCTGTTGTGCCAAGACTCCCTCGTTCAGCTGTTGCATTGTGGAAGGATTTGAGGAATCTTAGGAGATAGTCTTGAGCAGTGGTGAAGGGGTCACTGGCAGACTCAGGGACAGTAGCTATTTATCAACTGGTATGGAAAGGTTTCAATAATGGAATAGATGGACCATCATAACTGTGCCTATTGCCTGGGTATCAGCCCTGCTGTTGAAGTACCTATGTCTATCAGCCTTCCCTCTTAAAATTTGCTTTTTCCAATCTAGCACTGGATAATAAATCTGTTAAAACTAGGCATAAAATGATGAGTAGGTTTGAGAGAGTGTGTGTAATTCTTAGAGTTCAGTAAATAAGTATTTGATATTTATTTTCAGGGCTCAGAATTGTGTCTTCTTGATATGGTCATTGACAAATAGTATATGGTAATATTAGGTCAAAACTCACTTGGATACTGGAAATAAATGAAGGAAATACTGTAAATTCTCACTTTCTTAATTTCTTCTTATGCCTAAGTGTTTCACTCTACTTTAAATGTTTAAAATGTTATTGTACAAGAAGAGAATTAGTGGGTTATTGAACATATGCTTCCAATGAACCCTATTAAATGTAAGGTAGTGTAATTTGGTATACAAACATTACTATTTCTGGAATTTATTTTTAACATTTTAAAAGCAAAAGGAGATAAAAAGCATATGCAGATTTTTTAATGGTTATTACGATTACATATAACGTTTTACATACAAGGACAAAAAACCATAGGCTATCGGCAGATTTTTCAGCAGAAACTTGCGGGCCATAAGAGACTGGCATGATACATTTAAAATGCTGAAAGGGAAAAGAAACTTCCATTTTATTCAATGCCATTTTATTATTACACTGATAAGAACAAAATCAATTCCCAGCTGGGGCCGCTGCCTGTGAGGATTTTGCATATTCTCCCCATGTTTGTGTGGATTTTCTCTGGCTTCTCTATTTTCTTCCCACATCCCAAAGATGTGCACATTAGGTTAATTGATGTTTCTGAATTGTACCAATATTAGTGAGTGTGGATGTGTTTGTAAGTTCCAGCCTCCTGTGACCCTGGACTGACTGGAATAAGTTTGGAATAAGGTTGGAAAATAATTATTTGCTTTTATTAATCTTTATTAAATGTGTGGATAGTTCACATTTATTTCAATGTTTAATATTAGCAGTGTTTTGGGTCTTTATTTAGAAGTTTGGTGATATTTTTGTGACCAGAAATATGCTATATGCTCTTGTTTATATCAATTAGCCTATGGTAAAAAAATGGTTTCATTATACATAGGTTCTTGGAAACTGCAACTTTAAGTAAAACTATCAATGAGATTAGGTGAAGATTTACTTACTGTATAATATATCTTTGTGTGCATATTTTTGGTTTTAACTTATTTGGAATTCTCTGAACTTCCTGGATGTGGATGTTTTTTTCCCTTTTCAGGTTAGGGAAATTTTCAGCCACATTTTTTCAAGTAATTTTTCTGCCCTTTTCTCTCTCTCTCCTCTTCTTCAGGGCTCCCTATCATGCAACTGTTATCCTGCTTGATGTTGTCCCATAGGTCCCTTAAGTTTTCTTCACTTTTAAAAATTCTTTTTTCTTTATGGGGCTCTGTTTGAGTGAGTCAGACTACCCTGTCTTCTAGCTCACTGGTGCTTTCTTCTACTTCATTGAGTGTGCTGTTAAACCCCTCTAGTGTATTTTTCAGTTCAGTTGTTGTGATTTATGTTTGGTACAATCTTACGTTTTCTGTGTCTTTGTGAAAGTTCTCATTGTGTTCATTTATTCTTCCAAGTCCAGTGAGCATCTTTATGACCACTCCTTTGCTCTTTGTCAGGTAAATTAGTTATATCCATTTCAGTAAGGCTTTTTTTTTTTCTGAGGTTTTATCTTATTTCTTTGTTTGGAGTATATTTAGGTTTCTTCATTTTTCCTGACACTCTTTGTGCTTGCTTCTATGTGTTAGATTTAAAAAGCTACCTCCCCTGTCTTGAAGGATGCTGTTGTGTAAATGAACCTTGTTACTCAATCTTGCCCTAGTTCTTGGGGTTTGCTGCTGCTGCTGTTGTTATTTTGAACCTTTGTGATCATGAAAGCAGGCTGATTTATTCTTATTAGGTCCCAGTTGTTGGGGGTATTCCAATCTTTGCCAGTGTACTGAATGGAGGGATCTCAGCCAGCACCTAGTTTCAGGCTGAATGGAAGTCAGACCCTCAGGCCACAGCTTTTAAAGTATGCCAATGAATGCAATCCTGTGGGACCACAGTCGTAAACCCTGCTGGCCTCCAGAGCAGGCCATCTGGAAGAGTTCCCTCAGTTACATTTGCAAAAATTAGGGCTTCAGACAAGTGTATAAACTCTTTACTGGGAGGTACTGGCAAGCTGTAGCAAGGCCTGGGGAGAGCACAAAGATGGCCTAAGTTCCCTCAGAGTGCCTCCAGAGCCTCTACATGTGTGGGAAACCGGAGGCCTGCCCCTCAGGCTGAAGCTCCAGGACAAGTAAATAGGCCTTTTTTTTTTTTTTTTACAGGAACACTAGGGGTTGTGTTTCACTTTGCTCTCTGTGAATTGTCCTGGCTGTGGTAGCCTTCCCAAAACTATCTCTCTGATTGTTACAGCCCTGTAGGACTCAGGAATACAAGGCCCCTGGCCACCAGAGTCAGGTGATCAAGGAGAGTTCCCTGTGCGGTCTGCGTGTACCCACGAGCTTTAGCAAGATAGCTCAAGAGTGCAGGGGTGAGGCTTGCCCACCAGCTTTAGCGGGACATTGGTGTCTAGGAACTGCACACACCTGCCAGCTTTTGCAAGGCACAGCAACCCTGGGCTTCTGCCAACTTTAGCAGAGCAGTGGGAGAATGCAGCAACCACACACACCTGTCAGCTTTATTAGCCCCCCCCCCCCCCGCTAGCTTTAGCAGGGAAGTGGGAGAGTGTAGGAACTGTGAGCACCTGCCTGCACTAGCAAGGTAGAGGAAGAGTGCAAAAAACGGTGCTTGCCAGCACCTTCGTTCTAGGGGAGAGTCCCAATAGGCCCCTGCTTCTGCAGCAGATTCTTTGAGATTAGCAAATGAATCTCCTTCCAAAATAGTCTAAGTACTTTCACACTGCTGCTTTGGCGCTGGAATTCATTGCAAGTGGGTTTGTGTGCTAGCCTTTTAAGAGTGGTATTTCAGTTCCCTACATCCCTTTGGGTTGCCTGGACGAAAGCTGTCTTTTTCAAAGGCTTTTGGGGGGCTTGTCTCATAGTGCAGGTCACAATGAGATGGGGCACAAACTCCTCACTTCTCACGGAGAACCCCCTGCTTTGTGAGATTCCCCCCAATGGTGGGTCATTGTGGGGTTTTTGTCGAGACCATGTCTCTGCTTCTCTTACCTGTCTTGATGGTGGCCCTTTTATCCTTGGTTGTGGAGGAGCTGTTCAGCTAATGTTCAGGTCTTTTTCAGAGGAAATTGTTCCCCATGTAACTATAGATTTAGTGTGTCTGTGGGCGGATGTTAAGTTCAGGATCTTCCTGTGCCACCATCTTGGATTCCCACTCCTCAAATAACCTCTGATGTTAATGATGACATTGAGCCTGGTGATGGAGACCCAGACTGCAGGATTTACATCCCAGCTCTATGACCTTGAACCAGTTACACTCTATGCCTCACTTTCCTCATCTGTTAAAAGAGGGGATCAAAGAGTGTTTATTTGAGGCAACTGTTGTGAGAGTGACATGAGTTAACATGTGTAGAGCCTGCAGCGCAGTGCCTGCATTGTAAACATTATGTACATGTTAGCTGATGTTAAGATTATTATGATTATACTAATGATAATCATGATTTATATTAACAGAATGAAATGTTCAGATGAAAAGTGCAAACAGTTGTCAAATATCTCATTGTTTGTTCTGTATGTTGTGTCCCAAATTCAGTTGCATAGGCAGAGAAAAACATTTTATTATTTTATATAACTATATAATATATAATGTATATAATATGTATATTATATAATATATATATTTCAAATGTATTTTCCTCATATCTATAAAGATAGCTAAAGCTTTGGTGTGTTAAAAAGTGGATCAAAGTGTAATCCTAGGAAGTAAGTGTTTGGACCTATATATATATATATATATATATATATATATATATATATATATATATATATATATATATATATNTATATATATATATGAGCAAGATAGCCAAAGACGGAATATACCCAAGTGTCTTCTTCTTGCAATCAAATTGATCTGTGCCTTTATTTCAGCTATAATGGCTTATCTGAATCATTTCAAGATATTTGCCTCAATATAGATCTCTCATGCTAATAACTGATACCACAAGAATTGTATTGTATCGACACCTTCATACCCAGACTTATCTGTTCACATATTATCATTAAGAATCAAGGTTTAGGATTCTAGTTACTAAGGAGCAGCCACAATGGTTGAAATATGTACCCAGCCCTGATTCATAAAATCGCTAACTGGTCCTATCTTCAGTGGTATAGGATCGTTCTCCTCCTCCTCCTCCTTACCCTCTTCTTCCTCTTCTCTCCTCTTTTTCTTTCTCCCTGCTCTCCCCTGTCATGTTCCTAAATGTATTTAATCTGCACACATATGGCTCCAGCTATTCCAAACTAATTTCCAGTCGTCATGTGTGCTGTGTTGCTTCTTGCTCCCCTGCTGCTCTACAGGCTGTTTCCTCTGTCTGAATTATCTTTCTCCTTTTCTTCACCTGGCTATGACTTATAAGTTATTTAATCTGAGCTGAACATCATCTATGAGAAGTCTTCCCTAATTTCCACCACCTTCTTGCATGCTGTGTTATGATTCATTTTTAATTTGATATTCTTCCCCACTAGACTGTCAGTTCCTTTTTGTGTTACTGCCCTGTATTGTCAGCACCTGACAAATGCTTGAAATACAGTAGGTGCTCAATAGTTGTCCACTGACTGAATAAGCCAATAGGTGTATTTGCATGTGAAAATTTAAAATACTATGCACAAGTCAAAGGAGGGCAGCTTTAGTGTCTCTAAACAAAATAAGTATAAGATGTGTCTACTAGTTATTTTTAGATGAAAATAGAAAAGCTTTTGTAGTTTTAAAGTTGCACGGTATTTGGCATAGAGTTATTGATCAAAGATGTTTTTATTTGCATTGAAATAAGTAAAAAATTATCACTGTAGTTGTTTAAAAAGATTTTAGATCTAATATACTATGATAAGAAACGAATATCATAAAGTCAAACTTTCTGTATTTTAGGTTTCTATTGACATAATAAAAACATTGCATATAAATAAAAATATGAATATACCCAAGTAAATAAATCTGGTACTTAGTAAAATAATGATATGCTCTTGCAACTGTAGAGTATGATTTTTCTTCTATGTGCTATATATTTATAGCATGTAAGCAACCATGTCATTCATAGTTTCTGTTTTCTCTTTTCTTTGTGTGAGTTGGTCAAATCTTTTTTCTCCTGGTGTCATAATCTGATATGAATCTCAATAAAGTAATGGTGATGCAGTCATTATTTTACAGAACAGATTCATTTTCTGAAATCGTGTGTGTGTGTGTGTGTGTGTGAGTGTGTGTAGGTGGGTGGGTGGGTGTGGGTGTGTGGACAGATACCCTTCACAAATACCTTAATCACTTTCACTGCAACAGGAGTTAATTTAGAAGTCATTTTGCAAATAAAGTAAAGCCTAGAGCTCAAAATTAAGATTCCTTTGTTATGTTCTTCATAGATGGAAATAATTTATTATTTGCTGGGTACTGCTCTAAGTACTTTATACGAATCACGTCCTTCTATGCTGAGCAAGTGAGTTCTTCTATGACCCTGTGCTATACGTAAGGAACAGAGAGGTTAAGAATTGGGCCCAGCGTAGCACAGTTGGGCACAGCAGCAGTGCTGGGGTCTGGCTGTAAAGCCCATGCCCATAACCATAGACTGCCTCTCAGACCCACTCACTGTGCTTCTTCCATGCACACACTAGTCTGTACAACCCTGTATATTGTGATGATGTTAGTATTTTGTCATTTTTTTTCTGTCTTGTGAGAGAAGTGTTATTTTTTAAAATAAGTTTTCTTATATTATGTGATATGAATTAAGGGTCATGGAAGTTAGTTTTCAGAGCTGCATTCTTTGTATCAAGAATTTATTTTTCCGTTGTCTAAATTCTTGAATAGATGTTGCTATTGGAGCTCCACAAGAAGATGACTTGAGAGGCGCTATTTATATTTACAACGGCCGAGCAGAGGGGATCTCATCAGCCTTCTCACAGGTAAGTGACAATTCTGTTTTCAAAAGATGCATTGTCTTGTTCCTTTGTTGCCTTCAGTTTTATATCCCACATATCAGTGAAGTCATATCATTCTTGACGTTTTCTGTCTGACTTATTTTGCTTAGCATAATAATCTCAAGATCCATCCATGTTGTCGTAAATGGCACTATTTCTCTTTTCTTGGGGGAGGGAAGTGATAGAAGAGGGAAAAGGGGATCAAATATATGGTGATAGAAGGAGAACTGACTCTGGGTGGTGAACACACAATGTGATATATAGATGATGTATTATAGAATTGTACACTTGAAACCTATATTATTTTACTAAACAATGTCAGCCCAATAAATTTAATAAATAAATTTTAAAGCATTGGCAATAAAAGCCACCTTAAAACTTCCTGTGTTAATGAGGACTTATTTTTCTTAATTTGCTCTTTCAAATACTTAATATTCTATTTCATCATTTTCTTATAGTAACAGTAGATGGTCTCATTTTTAAGGACTTTAGTAAGTCTTTGGAAACTTTTTTTTTTTTTTGTATGTAAGAGTTCGGGTTCACTTCCATTCTAGTTTGTCTTTAACCTATTAAAGATTTCTCTCCGCATTTCATTAAATTTATGTTGAGGTAATATCCATACTATTCCAAATAAGCCCATTTGGCTTTGATTAAGTGTGTCATGTCTTGTGGCTAAAGTCCCATATTTCAGGGAGATCACACGCGGAGAGAAAACACTCATATGATACTCTGTGTTCCTTTCAGTGCAACTCAGTAAGATGATAGCAGTTTAATACATTTCTGTGATCTAACTCTGACTTCACTTTTATATTTTGAAAACTCAGGCCATTTTAGTGCGTAGAAAAACCTACATACATGTACAGAAAAGAAAAGCTTTTCCAAAGATACTTTTCTGGAAACATTAGCTAATACTATTATTTCTGATTAGGCAAAAACAGGCAAGTGGCTTTCTAAATTTAACATGAAATATATGTATTTGTCTAGTAAAAAATACTGATTTTGTTAGCATGGATAGCAACCAGATACTTATACTTTACCATTTAGACATGAAATTAGACACATGGAACAGGAAACACAGAACTTGAGTTGTCTTTGGCGAATGCTAGGAAGCAATCAGACTAAATAGGATGGCTGCCATCATAAGCCTGGGTTGGAGGCTCCTAAGCGATTAGAGGTGTCTTATTTTCCAAATTGCTTATTTGATAATTTATGTTGGCCAGGGGAATGAATACAGAACCTGAAAGAAGACTGGGAGAGGGAGTCAGGGCTGTTTTGGAAGATCTATACTACATGCTTTCCCTTTGCTCCCAAAGTAAAGAAAGTAATTTTTTTCTTGTCACAAAATAGATGTCAACTGCCCACTGAAAGCTGTAAACTTTTGTTTCTCTTAGACATAGCACTGGGCTTAACTAAAATGCACTTTATTCATAAATATGCCAGGGCATGGAAAGGCTCATTATTTAATGAAATCATTGCTTCTCTGGGATATTAGGTATTCCAAAACACTTCTCACACAACTCACCTATTTTTCAGAGAATTGAAGGACTTCAGAACAGCAAGTCATTAAGTATGTTTGGACAGTCTATATCTGGGCAAATTGATGCAGATAATAATGGATATGTAGGTGAGTATAAAATTTACCTTATTTTATAAACTGCAGTAAGCTCTATCGTGGATGCTGCTTTATTGAGAAGTACATAAAACTGGTATGGGAGAGTTCTAATTTATTTATAATTTTTTTCCCTTCAGTTTTGTAGCCCTTTTGAATTCAAGGATGAGTCAGAAATAATCAAGTAATTCCTGCGCTTTACACTGTTAGTTATTTAACATTTCATTCCTTATTGTTAAAAAAAAAATGAAAGTAAATCGAACATATGAAAAGGAAGAAGGCTTTTTTTTTTTTTAATTTAAAGGTAGATTGCTGGGTGAATGTTTCTAATCCAAAAATTGGATTTGTTTTAGTAAACCTATCTTTATATCATAAAGTTTGTTTATATTATAAAGGGATGAATATCATTCAGACAAATGTGGAATGAACCTTTAAATGTAAGCATATCTTTTCTAACTAATTTTCTGTAAATCGTGTTTTTGATATAGTCAAAAGGTGATATGTAGTTAACTATTTGCGACAGAAAAGTAATTCTCTTTGACTACTAATGATCATTAATCTGTGTTTTCTATCCTCCAGATATAGCCGTTGGTGCTTTTCGGTCTAATTCTGCTGTGTTGCTAAGGTAAGGTTTGTATATCTCACTACTTAATGCCAATTGGGTTTAATTGTAAATAATGGGAGGCAGTCTTTTAAATCAGCAGTGGTAGAGACCTCATACGGTTCTTTTTGGTATTCTGAAATTTAATTATTGAACTTGAGGATACTTATCCTACCTTACATAGATATAATTAAATAGTGAGACAAAGTCAATATTTTTAGACATTTAAATGAAAATTCCTCTTGATGCATGGGAATGTTATTGAATTTGTGTGAGCATACTATAAATAAAGCAGTTCCATGAAATCACTTGGTCAATGGAAACTGACAAAACAAATGCAATTCTTAAGGGAAAATAATTCTGTAAGTAATATTGCTAATTTTATTTCCTCCTTAGGACAAGACCTGTTGTGATCGTTGAAGCTTCTTTAAACCACCCTGAGTCAGTAAATAGAACGAATTTTGACTGTATTGAAAATGGATTGCCTGCTGTGTGCATGGATCTCACACTGTGTTTCTCATACAAGGGCAAAGAGGTCCCAGGTTATATTGGTAAGTGTACCACGACACAGTGGATGCTGGGTAGAATGTGTACTTCATTCATTACTCTCATGATCCTCTTTTGAGTACTCACTCTGTTTCACCCTCGAGGTAGGCTGTAGGGCAAGAGAGAGCAGTGGCCTGATAGCACACCTTTCTTCCCCATTTCTGGATTCTCTGCTTGATGAGTAGGCCAGGTTAAAAGGCTATCGTTGTTTAGAGGTTATGACAAGAAGCAAAACCAGGGTATTGCTTGCTATATTATTATTATTATTATTATTATTATTATTATTATTATTATTATTAATTAGTTTCATGTGTACAAAACAATGCATAGTTATCCTTTTCACCCCTCACAAAGTGACAACCCCCCTCCCCCCAAAGAAGAAGGAAATCGTACCATTTGCAACAATATGGATGGACCTAGAGAACATTATGCTAAGTGAAATAAGTCAGATGGAGAGAGACAAATACCATATGCTATATTATTATTTAAAGTGAACTAACTGAGCTTAATCTGTAAGATCTCTTTAGAATAGAAAGAATGTCACACCAGCCATAGCCTCTCCTCTGTTTCACTGGGCTCTTTAAAGCCTGGAATTGGCTCAAGTTGGAAAGCCAGAGAGAAAGAAGATTCTTTTCTTCATACAGTATTTTATCCTCCTTTAGTAATTGAAGAAGCTTGTCTGCAGTCCAGACCCTGATTCTAATTATCATAAATAACACATGTCTGTTAAGGATTTATTATGACTTTCAGCTCCTGAGAGCTCAGGCCCATTTCCCTGTACGTAGGCAACTCTCAGCTACCTGGCCTGGAGAAAGTAGTATTGATACGGCTTATCCAAAATTGTGGTTAAGCCAAAATCACAAGTAAGTATTACAATGTTACTAGCAAGTAATGATTCTAATTATGCTATATTTAAGCAAATATTAGAATAATTACTAACGAAACTAGCCCATGGTAGGGGAGAAGCATACCTGGGTTTGTTATTTGGACATCAGTAATGCACAAAGTTTGTGAGCCCCACAAGACCTATCAAGAGTTAATTGTGCTAATGACCCTGCAGGTTGTCATCCTCTAAACAGTAAGATTAACAAATACTGAACCAAACTATGGAGATGTAACAGAGGTCCCATCTGAACTCGCCTCTATTGAAAAGGACAGAATGAGCCTGGCGTCTCTACTTTCAATCATACTCATTTTTTTATAGTGCTCTGCAAAAGTCCTGGCTAGAGTTTCAGTGATAGGATTGTGGCCAAAACCTTCGTCTGGTTCTTGATTAAAGAAGTGGCAGTTTGAGGGCATGATCCTAGTAACACAGACAAACTGATGGATTATCTAAAAGATGCATATTAAATAGATAGGACTATTTCCCTTTATGTAAAATCAGTGTTTGTTGTACTACCAATTCCATTGTAACCAGGTATTTTAAACTGGTTGAAAACAAATATGTGAAATTCATAAATAATCACAGCATTGTTACAAAAACATGCTTTATAGTTGTCGTAAAATGACTCCTTAGGAGAAATAATTCACATGATAAGCATGTTTAATAAAACCAGGACATTTTGCCTCTTACTGTGAGTGGGTTTTTAGTCATCCTTTTTTCATTTATTTTTTTTCTGAACTCAGGGTGATGAATTTGCAGATGGCTATTTCAATTGCAGCTTTATCTCAGAGGCATTGAATCTGTTATTGTAATTTTGAATCCAATTGATTTGGACTTTATTATCTAAATAAAAGGAAGGTTGAAAGATTTATTTGAAATTTGTAGGAGTCGTATGGGTTTTGTGCTTAGGTTTTCTTGAAATAAGTAGTAGATAAAATCCTTCCAGAAGAGTAAGTTACTCCTAAAATGTAAATGAACACTTCAGGAATTATATAAATTCTGAAAAATATCACTTAATGATTTATTACTCTTATTTAAGTGATGTCTCCCCGGACTATTAGATGCAGCTTGTTTTGCAAAAATCCCTTTGAGGCTAAAGAAACGTATCTTTCTTGGTAAGATCTAGCTTAGAATGTTTTTGGTGGCTTGTAAATTTTCCTTATTGTTTTTGCTTATTGAAAATCTTTAGCAGATGATTATCTACAATGTCATATTTGAAATAAGTTCTTACCAAGCTGACAAAATATTTATTGAGAGAATGTCTATCTATATTTATTTTTGCATGAATCAACACTTGAAGTTCAAACTCGAAACCAATAAAAACATGGAGGAGACTAGTGAGGGCCTAGGGCTAGAAAAGAAGATGTCTTTGAGTAAACTGTTTATACAGGTTTGACTTTTCAATCATGTCTTCACTTTACATGGAAAAAAATAATGAATCAATCAACAGAAAATAAACCCTCAAATCGGAAACACATAAAAATAAATGAACCTAACCATATATGAAATTAATTATATAACCGCACAAAAGAGACATATCCCAAGTGACACGTGGGCACAGTGCTCTGCCTGTACGTACTTTCTTAGTGGGATATTCTACAGACAAAAGGGACTCCAACGGAACCTGAAACTTTACTCAGGACTGTTCCTATGGGTTAACGATTATGGTATTGTAGTTTTGGAACATTTGTATATAGGATGATTAAGTGAATAACTAAAGATATTAATATTAAAAATAGAAAATTGGAGAAAAGTTTATGAATTTTTTTATTGAGAAAAACAACTTTAAATATGTGTTTTTAAAATGCTCCCACTTTCATATTTCAGGTTAGTTTTAAAATGCTATTTAATGAAGATAACTTAATATATCCCCAGTATTCTCTATGACTGACTATGATCACTTCAAAAATAATGCTTTTAGATGATTATTTATATTAATTGCAATTCTCTCTCCCTTTTTGCAGTTTTGTTTTATAACATGAGTCTGGATGTGAACAGGAAGGCAGAATCTCCCTCGAGATTTTATTTTTCTTCTGATGGAACTTTTGATGTGATCACAGGGAGCTTGAAAGTATCAAGCAGAGAGGCTAACTGTAGAACACATCAAGCCTTTATGCGGGTAATGTAAACTAGTTTTTATAAATGAATATGTAAACTTCAATATTATCAGTATGATAAAAGTCTTCGGGCATTGGTATCTTTTTATAAAATGTAGTTAAAAGCAAGTGTTGTCCCCACCTGAACTTGACCTACTCCAGAGACAAAATGCTGGACAGCCTGTGACCTAGATAATTCAAAGTCTACTTTTTGCATCTTCTTTATTCCACATTTGTTACATCTTACTGCATCACTATTTTTAGAGATTTGCCTTTTCCTATCTCTGTTTATACACTTGCCTAGGAATGTACATATTGAAGAGCTCTTCTGCGACTTAGGTCTATCCTTGGGCAGGGTTTTGTGGGGGGGTTTGTTTTGTTTTGTTTTTTAAATGAGGGCGGTGGGCAGCAGGGAGATGGGAGGTGGGGCAGTTGGTTTGCTTTTCATGTGACTCTAATGAAGCAGAATCCAACATGACTGCCTTTGGACTATGTCTTTGTCTCCACGCCAGCATTGTCAGTGATGTCAGTGGGAACTTGCACAGTTGTAGTGTGGCAGGGATGGTCTGTGGGCCAGGACGACGGCTCTCCTGATGGTTTGGGATATGTCCTGCCAAATCACAGCTGATTTCATGTTTCTTTTATTAAAACACTCATTCCCAAACTGATCATCACGTTGCTAGCATTGGTCACATTGTATCATATGAAGCAGCGTTTTTCATTAGGGAATCATGTACTGCATCTGCATCGGAAAAATCTATTGTTACAAAGAAGCCAAACTATTCCCTGGGAGCCCTTTCTGGGGTTTCAAATAGTAGCCTCATCTTAGAACTTAATTTTCCCTTAGATACACTTATTCCAAGTGAATGCAAACAAGCATCCGGGCTCCAAAACACTATTAAATGCTAAGAGCACTAATCCCGATGCTATTTTCTCATTTCCCTTAACAGGTTTTATTGTTGTACTGGAATAAAGCTATTAGATGGTTAAGAGCCAAAAGTATAGAATGATATTAATGAACCATTGTTTACATGACAGGGATTAAAGAGCTTCTTTTTTTTTTAATCGTACCTAGTTGTGATTTTACTTAGATTAGTCAATTTTAGAGGCTAGCATTGAGACCATTTTAAAGGCAATAAAAGGGACAACATTAGACATTCACAAAGAAACACTGTGTTGAATTTGTATAAATGGCAGTAAATTGATCTGATTTATTTAGGCCTATGTTTCTGGGCATTGTTTCTATGAGCAAGCGTTCATCAAAATTGTACATTTTCTTCAGAATAAATTTGTAGTAGGAATGACAATTTAGCAGAGGTTTTTGTGTTGGTTGCTTATATACTTGTGTTACCATGGTGTCGACGGCAGCAGGTTATAGCCATTGACTTTGGGCCTTATTGTCAATGTCAAACAAAAACACTTAGCTTTGGGATTGGTACATAGTGGGGATTTTTTTTTTAAATGTGATTGTTTATTCCAATATTTTTTCCCCTTCCTAAATTACCTTGCTTTTGTTTGGGACATTTTAATATTCACAAATAGAATGGCAAAATGCTACTGCAACCCTCTCACTGACAATAAATGCAAGGAGGATGTAAGAAATACAGAAGCAGCTGCCCCAAACTTGGGTTCTATCAAGGAGCTCTAGCTGTCATTTAGGAAGGCGTAGGAATATAATGGGTGCACTTTCCACCTCCATCAGCATGGTACCTGAGGCATTTGTAAGCATTAACAGTGTTGTGCTTCTGCAGTCTGAAAGATAGAACAGCAATTTGAATTTTGCTGTCTTCCTAATAGAGGAAAAGAAGATGGACAGTGGTCAGGATGCCTAGATTGTTCCTCAATTCTATAAAACGTGTCCAATATCAGGAGTGTTAATATATGTATGCATTCTACCTTGGCACCCCTAATAATGAAATTAGGCAATACTTGTTAATTATGTACTGGGGCCTGCAGACCTTGCCTGTCAGTTAGGCACACTTTCTTTGTCTGGTTGTTTCCATTGGCTGTTAGTTAAGCTCCACTTATCCATCTACTCAATTAATTCAGTAGATATTTATTGAGCTACCTACATGTGTCGGGTTCTGTTTGAGCCACTTGTGTAGGTCAGTGAATAAAAGAATAAAATGTAAAACAATTACTATCTTCATAGAACTTTTAGTCTAGTGGGGTAAGACAAATAATAACATGATAAAATGCAAATTTTATAGTATTCAACAGGAAGAAATGGGTGATGGAAAAAGGAAAAAAGAGGGCAAAATTCAGAAACTTAGAAGTTCTATGGAAAGGGTGAAGAGTGCAACTTTAAATAGGACGGTCAGAGTAGACCTCATTCAGAAGGTGACATTTGAGCAAAGACTTGAGGAAGTGAGGAAGTTACTGTGCAGATGTCTAGGACACTGGTTTGCAACTTGAGCATGTTTAGAAGGCTTGTTAGAACTCAAATTGCTGGGTCCCAGCTAGAGGTCCCGATTGAGTAGGTCTTCAGTGAGGCCTGAGAATTTGCATTTCTACGAAATTCCCAGGTGATGCTGATGTGGCTGGCTTGGGAGCCATCCTTTGAGAACCCCTGATCTAGGAGAACAGCATTACAGAAAGAAGAGCTAGGTAAAAATATCTCAAGACAAGAATGTGCCTGGTTGTTTTAGAAAACAATGGGGAGGCAAGGATGGCTAGAAAAGAGAGAGGGGGAAGAGTAGTGGGAAAAGAGATAGTATGGGACCTGTGACTTTTTCTCTGAATGAAATGAGGATCTATCACAGAGTTTTGAGCAGAGAAATGAGGTGATCTGACCTAGTAATAAAAAAGAAGACTCTAACTGCTATGTTGACACTAGATAGTAGAGGAGCAAGAATTGACACAGGGAGAAGAGGATACAGCAATAACCCAGGTGAGACATGATGGCTCCTTTGAAAGTGGTGACGATGGATATAGTGAGAAGTAGTTGAAGAAAGATCCTATACGTTTTGCTGACAAATGAGATGTCTGGCATATGAGAAAGAGGCTCTGAGGTGACTCCAAGGTCTTTAGCCTAAGCAACTTAGAAGAGTGTAGTTTCCATCAATCGAGGTAATATGCACGGGAAACACTTTTGGGTGGAAAATTCTGGCATTCAGGTTACTCTTTTGCCAAATTTTGCTCCAACTGGACCAGAGAAATGGGGCTGGGAGTCAGTAGCTGACATGAGAAGTGGAATGAAGGGCTCTTCTTTTAAGAAAGGAAAAATAGCATATTTTTATAATGAGTGGTGTGTTCCAATAAAGTGAAATATTGATGATATAGTACCGTATTCTGCTATATATAATGTGCACCCACATTTTTGGCCCAAACTTTCAGGGAAAAAGTCTTTAGTTTAAAAAATTTTTTAAGACATTTTTTTTTAAAGATTTTTATTGGGGAATTGGGGGGATGGGAGCAGAGCTGGGGAATTGGGGGAAGGGGAGCAGACAAGTTGCCATCGTTTTGTTCTTCAGTCTAGTTGTGGAGGACGTTGCTTCACTGGCCCAAGTTGGCACCATCATTGCGCTCTTCCCGGGCGAGGCAGATCAGTCGCCAGCTTCTGGATGGCTGCTCGCTACACATGGTAGCCCATGGCAACCTACACCGTCGCCGGCGACTCAGGGCAGCCCAGCTCCAGGTCGAGCTGTTGATCAGCATCTTAGCTGTAGAGGGCAGTGTCACTAGCCCTCATATGTGGGATCCAAACCGGGGCCCTCTGGCGTCCCAAGCCAGTTCTTAACCATTGCGCCACTCGGCCGGCCCTTGTTTTAATTTTTTAATTCATACTTTTATTTGTTTACATTTAGGTACTTGGTTTTTGTATTATAAAGGAATTTTAGCATTTATGGCATGAGAAATTTTATGTAACAAACAATTACAGAACACAAGAACAGATACAAGGTACAGGAAATTTTATGTACCAGTAACAAATTTACGCCATTTATGCATCATAGAAGGCCAAGGACTCGTTGTTGCAAATTCATTGTAAGTTCAGCAAAACTGACTATCATATTCCAGGGTATTATTTTGCATATGGATATCATTTATTTTTAGAGTTACACTTTTAGCTCATAAGCATAAATACAAGAATTAAAATCATGTAGATGTGGAATAAGTACTACCCATGTATACCTGGACCAACAACTGACAGCCATTTTGGGAACTATTGAAGCAGCCATAGTAGTGAGACATCCCTTAAGGTTTTTATAGATGATATTTCTTGGTGGAACTTGGAGTCTCTGCATCAAAATATTCACTGATGTTTGAGAAGAGAAAAAAGGCACTGTATTGGAATAACAAAGGCTCAGGATTCCTTACCTGCCTACAGCATTTCCAATAAAAGCTAGAAGTATCTAGCTTAGTCATCAGACCAGGAATGCTTATTGGTATCCTGAGATCCAGTGAGTTCGGCAGCCTTAGCATGTTGTATAATAATCGTGAAATCAGTCTGTCTACCTGTTCAGTAAATTAGTTTATTCTTTTTTTTCCCTTGGTTTCTTGAATTTCTGAATTTTGAATTTCTGAATTAAAGGAATTAATTTTGTTCTGTAGGTCTTTAGGTGATTTCTAAAATCCATCTTTTTCAGTAATAACTTCAAGAAAATGAATGGTGTATTTGATTAGTAAATATATATATTTTACATATTTTGTTTGCTTATATAAGGACATAATTTAGTGAAGTGTCATTTGCTCCAAAGTAGCTATATTGTAATCCCAGCATACTATGGACCAATCCACATATGCATACGAGTACATTTTGGCTAAAAATCTAAGGGCAAGCAAGCTATAAAACTATACTGATATTGTGATATTCTAGAAGTGAATTGATTATTCCAACCTATGTTAATTCTTTGTTAGATGGCAAGGTCTTTGAGGACAGGATATTATCTGTTGCATATTTTTATTTCTTAGAACTAACACAATTCATTACATAAGACAGTAAATCAAAATTTAATACATTTATGGACAATGTGTTCTGAGTACTATGTAAAGAATTCTGTGAGGGAAAATCTGATAGTGTTCTATTAGTATCATGGGCACCTGTCTTAGGGGTGTTTTCTTTTCTCAGGCAATAGTAGTGCCAGATGTTTGACAGCTCTCCACTTCCTAAACCAAACTTACTAGAGAGAAAGTAATTATAATTACACATGGTTGTGCTGGTTTAGGTTCCCATCTATGCCTCCGTCTTATCTTCTCCTTTCCCAACCCATTCCTCCATTGGTACTAGAGGGGCATTTCAAAAATTCAAATCTGATCATATTCCTTGCTTATAATTCTTCTGGGGAAGAACCTTCCCCTCCCCTTTGAAGTGTAGACTACGTGGCCCTCCTTCTTCCAGATTTATGTCTGCATTTATCAGCACACTCATCCAACACACCAATTGTATGTTATTATGGATTATAGACTGTGACATAGGTTCTGGCTTTCAGTTTTATATCCCCAGAGCCTGCCTTGTACACAGTAGATCCATGAATAGTTATCTTTAAATGTTTATAACTCAACATCATTTTTTAATTCAGTAATACTTTATAAATATGACTGGCTCCATTCTTTAAATAAATTCCTTCACTATCTAATCACAGTAGGATGATATAGGCCGATGCCTCAATTCTCCAGTTGGTCATAAACACAAATTTCCATGAAAGTCAAACAAGAAGGTAGACTTTGCATAATTTTAGGCATGTGCTAATTTGCATGCTTGTGGATGCCCTAGTTTATGTAATTGTCCATAAAAATGTGGCATGGAATTTTCATTATTTTTAATATAGATAGCACATGCCCATCCAAATTAAAAATTTTAAGCAAACCTACTTTTTTTTTCCTCCCAAAACTTAGTCACTTTGGACATTTTTCATGTTATAGCTTTTGTCCTTAGGTGGAGTTGTTAAAGTTAAATAAGTGTGAATATCTGTCAAATACAGTTCTTGCAAGAGTGCATGTACATTTTATATATTGTGAGAAAAGCATAATTAATAGCTAATTAGGATAATGAAAGTAATATACACCAGATGTAGAGAAGACCTTGTGGAAAATTAGTATGAATTAGATAACATGTGATTTGGTCGAAGCAAGCTTGTTGAGAAGAATTAAAACAGTGGCCATGTGGAGGGACAATCAGTGGCTGTCTAGCTACTACACCTCGGGAATAATTTAATCAAGTTTGCTATTGTAATACTCAGGGCTTCAAGCTGTTCTGTTTTCACAAGTTGATAACTTGGGATTTGGGCCTTGATTTGTAGCATTCCTAGATGGTCAAGGTTTCATATTGAGATGATCACTTATCAAGTAATTTAATAAAATCATGTCCATGTATAAGATTGGAAAAGTAATGAGAGATCTTGAATACTCTGATTCATGCTCCAAATCTTCCAGGTACCACTTAATACAAGTCTAATAATTGTTATGTAATTCATTTTGTATTTAATGAATACATTAAATTCATTGGTTGGAGATAGCCTAATTTTTGTTTTTCTTATGCTTTCCAAATGTTCACCAGAATTTCTTATTATAAGAAAATGAAGTTCTGCTTTCCTTGGTTGGCTTATATAGCTACACTTTCAGGCAACATACACATAATAATTATAATGTCTAACATCTATTGAGGCCTTAATAAGTGCGAGGCATTGTGCTAAATGTTTTACGTGCATTATATCATTGAATCCTCACAACAATAAGGTGTAGGTATCATCATCATCATCATCATCATTATTCCCATTTTCAGATGAGGTAACTGAGCCACATACAGATTAAGTAATTTGCCTAAGGCTACACAGATAATACGTGATGTACCTGAGATTTGAACCTCAGTATTCTGCCCCCAGCCCACTTGCCTTTCACCACATATACTGATAATGTTATAAATGATGAGAAAAGAAAAAACATGACATCTTTTTTATAATTACATAAAGACAGAATAGATGTAGTCTTTTATGTAATATGTGTCTTTATTTTACTTCATTGATTACCAGAAGTTATTATAGATGTAAGTAGCACAGCTATCTCTTAGGGATTATTAAATGATGAGTTTTGGAAACAATCTGTTCTTTTTTTGCCTTCAGGCAGTAGTGCTAAGCCATACCCCAATCCTGAGGTAACCATTGGGTCGTTGGGAAAGTCATGACGTGTTTTTCTATGTTTTTCAATGCAAAAATGCGTCATGACTTTCCCAACGACCCAACATATAGGTAGATAGAAACCTGGCCCACTGATATTACTCACTAAACAGCAGTTCTCAACCTTCCTAATGCCACAACCCCTTAATACAGTTCCTCATGTTGTGGTGACCCCAACCATAAAATTATTTTCGTTGCTACTCTATAACTGTAATTTTGCTACTGTTATGAATCGTAATGTAAATATCTTTTTGTTTTCTGATGGACTTAGGCGACCCCTGTGAAAGGGTCATTCAACCCCCAAAGGGGTCGCGACCCACAGGTTGAGAACCACTGCACTAAGAGGTCTGTCAATTACAACTAAAAATTAGTAAGATATTAAATTTAGAAGAATGTCATACAGAGCATAATGGATTGCAAATCCATTGCAATTGGGTGTAGTTGATAAATAAATTCAGGAACCTTTTCTTTGTGAAGTGTAAAAGCACAATAAACCTAGAAAAATGTTGTATAGCAACTAGCAAGAAGAGTCAGTAAAATGAATAGGATAAAAGATTAAATATACAAAACAAGTAACTTTCCTTTATACCATTCCAAACCTGTTAGAAAATATAATTGGAAAAGGTCCATAAAGAATAACAAAATAGGGTATATTTCATAATAAATATGAAATCAAATTAATCACACTGTATCAAATGTTACTGAGAGACCTAAAAAGAAAACATGGATAAATTGAGAGAATATTTCTACAAGCCTACTACAGGGAAATGTTAAATAAAATAAAATGTTTACTAGCGCTTGAAATGATTTACAAAGAGTCTTTAGAATGAAAAATGCTTATGTTATAATGTCAAGTTATTAAAAGTATGTATAGAAAATACCATGGAAGAAAATATGCCCAAGTGTAGACTTTTATAAGAATAATTGGATGGTTATAAAATGGTATATTTTATACCATTTTGTGTTTTTTCTGATAAACATGAGTGCTTTTGTAATATGAAAAAAATGTACACATTCAAATTTGTTTAGCCATTTAGATTAAAAGATAAGGATTGTCTTTGACTTCCTTGTGTTGTATTTGGCCTTATGCAGAAAAGGAGGAGCGCTCTCTCTCTCTCTTTTGTTTAATTTGCATGCTTATTGTTATTAATTCGTATGGTTTTAAATTTCCTTAGAAAGATGTGCGAGACATCCTCACACCTATTCAGGTTGAAGCCGCTTACTACCTTGGGCACCATGTCATCAGTAAACGAAGTATGGAAGAATTCCCACCACTTCAGCCAATTCTTCAACAGAAGAAAGAAAAAGACTTAATTGAAAAAACAGTAGGAATATTTTCCTTTATTCAAAAATTATGTGACATGTAACTAAAGAATTATTTTTTAAAGTTTTGCATAATTCTAGGGAAATGAAATCTCTGAAGCTTTAAAAAAATTTATGAATTTTTTATGTAAAAGAGATTTATGGTATGTCTTGTTTTTCATTTTTCTTTACTTTTTATATTCCCTTTAGGATATTGAACTGAATATTTAAAAATATGCATTTAGTCATAGCAGTGGTTTCCCATATACATAAAATGTTAATTTTCTCTTCTTGATGCCTTGCCAGTGAAGAAAATATATTACTAGAGAGCACTCATAATGGAAGTGAGTTACATTCATGAGTTAGTTAATTCAGCATCTTCATGTGTGTGGAGTTTCTCTTTCTCATTTTCTGCCTCTCCTCTCATTTTGTCTACCTCTCACTCACCTCACCCACCATTCACTCATGTCTTGTTAGTCAAATTCCCTTGCTATTTTATCGATTTTATAAACATGTGTACTTACGTGACACAACAATTTCCCTTTTAAATTTAACTGCATGCTTTCCAGCCACATCCCAGGACCACTTGCATTTTATCATGGCCCTGCATTCTAACCAGTAAACTGCTTTTTCTAATTTATCCCAAAATACATCAGTTTTACTGGCAGAATTTGTGTTCGGGAGTCCAGTTCAGTTTTCTGTCCAACAATGCAAAGATATAGTCAACAGGATATTTTTGATTATGGTAAAAATTCATTAAAATGTTGGCTAATGGCACATAGAATGTGAAAGATGAAAGGGACATTTAAAGGTCTAGTTCATAAGCTGCCCAAACAAAATTGCCAAGTCACTTTAAGATATTTGAGCTTCTATCACCATATATTTGATTCGTTTTACCCTCGTCGATCACCCCTCTCCCCTCTTACCCTCTGGTAACCACTAAACTATTGTCTGTGTCTATGAGTTTTTGTTTCTTCATTTGTTTGTCTTGTTCCTTTGTTGTTTTCAGTTTTATATCCCACATATCAGTGAAATCATATGATTCTTGAATTTTTCCGTGTAACTTATTTCACTTAGCATAATAATCTCAAGATCCATCCATTTTGTCCCAAACAACCAAATTGTCCTTCGATAGATGATTGGACAAAGAAAACGTGGTGTACATACACAATGGAATACTGCTCTGCTACAAGAAATGATGAAATAGCACCACTTGCAGACATGCTTTTTGACAACACTGTAGTCGTTTCCCATTTCGTATACCTGGCTCCTTCTCTGGTTTATTTCTTTCCTACGTCTCTCCTTCTTTGACCTATGCCTCTCATTTTTCTTTTTTTTTTTAACCTCTCTCCATTTTTTCTTTGTCCAGCTTATAACTCAGGTTTTCCCATGTACCTTATAGTATCTCTAGGTCCTATTAAAATGCTCAGAGTTCAATAAATCTGGAACCTCTATGACAAGCTATGATTTCATTTTGTTCAGTGTTCTCAAAGTGAAATTTCTACTTTTTTTATTTTCAAAAAATATAAAATCACTGTCTTACCATCTGTGAAATTAAGTGCCATGCTTATGTGTGATAAGTGGAATCAAACTGTCACACCACAAAATAGAGAGGAACTCAACAAAGAACATCTTGGCAGCACAGGTTTTATAATAAATACTTAACAGGTTACTACCACAGTTTGGTTAAACATATTTTTCCCACAACTATTATGAAAGAAAAAAAATCATTTTTCCACCTAGCAAATGTACCTAATAGATGAATTTAGGTTTTTTTAGCCCTGCAATTATTTGTCATTTGAATCTACTGACTAATTCTTACATTGAACTCTTCAAGAAGGGATAAAATAAGGAGTTATTAATTTGATTTACTCATTTTTATTCTTCTCAGATATCATAGATGTCTTATTCTTTTTTAAAAAAACATAGACATATATCTACCAATGGGACTAAAATAAAAATACTGTCATATTTTATTTCCAGATAAATTTTGCAAGATTTTGTACCCATGAAAATTGTTCTGCTGATTTACAAGTTTCTGCAAAAGTTGGGTTTTTGAAGTAAGTACAGTTTACTGTCTTATTTATTAAGATGGGGTAATGGTTGTGTGCATGTGGGTTCCAAAGAGAACTGATCCTTGAGGGTTAGCAGCATGTAGAGAACTGGGAAAGAACAACACACTACTGAGTGAGATTAAGCCATCTGTACATCATTCACATAAGTCTACACTCAAAGATTACCACTTTTTGAAAGAATGAGAATATGTGAGCACCAAGGTTTATGAAGCATGTTGTAATCTTTTATTGATAACTCAGAAGATATTTCAGGATCTATTTGTGCCTTAGGTCATCATTATTATAATAGTTGTGTTTTAGACATTTGTCACTATTCTTAATAGAGTTTTGATGGCAAAATGAGCTAACCTGCACTATATAATACTTGTTTTTTTATATCACCCAGAAAACTGGTTACATAATTCAGACTGATGTACAAAACAAATTTCTCAATATATACATATGACCCATTTGAAAGGAAATACACCATCTTGTTCTTCTAAACTTATAGAAGGGGAAACACTAAAAAGAAAACATATGATGTGCTTAGAATAGCATCTAGCACGTAGTGAAAACTAGGTAAATGTTGATTGCTGTTATTATTTTATGATGATGGAAAATAAACCACTGTAATTTTGTCATGTCTAGATCCCCCATATTGAAATTATTTTTGCATATGAGAGAGAAGATATGAAAAATGAGGCCTGGAGAGATAAAAATCCACACTTCAGGTTGAAGGCTGAGTGTGTTTGGGAAGTGAAAGAAGTGAAGGAGGCATCAGTGACAGAGCAGAAAAATGGGAAACAGTTTGGGGGAGATAGAGCCATAAAGGAAGCAAGCTTAAACTGGAGCATGTTGAATTCAGTAGGACTTCCGTATGTAGCTCTCCACTTAAACAAACCTAGTTCAGGATTATCTATGGAAGTCCTTTACACATTCATGACTCGTGAGAATGCTTGGGTTGGAAGAGGTGAAATGTGCATTTCACAGAGAAAAGGATGAAAGATCAACTCTGGGAGGGACAGTTTTATTTAAAGAGACTGCCAAGAATTGAGAAGTCCCTGTAGGAGACTGAAAAGAACAAAGAGGAGAACCAAGTCCAATGCGAAATAGCCAATAGAGGATATACAAAGAGGAACTTAATAGTGTAGAATTTTGTAGAGGGATCAGATAGCATAATGACTGAGGAAAGGTTGTAGTAGTGGCATTTAAAATGTGACTTGAGTGTAATAAAGGATGTCACTGGCAAATTTGAAGATAGAAATTTCACTGTGGTAGGAGCCGAAAGAGCCAATGATTAAGGGAAGAGAATGTACTGGGAACAGGTAGATTCAACGGAAGAATTTTCGTGTACCTATCACATGCTGTTATTTATTCAGTCATGCAGAGGCAGGGAAAAAAATAAATTGGAGAGAGAAATTTTCTACTTAAACCCAGGGGTCACTTTTCATCCCTATTTGAACTCTGAAGCATTGGACAGCTGTTCACTTCCCCTTTTGAATGTCTTTTGCTTTAATTTTCATGATGCCATCCTACTGCCTTTTCCTTCTCCTTGTCTAATCCCCTCCTTCCCAGTTATCTTTGGGGGGTGTTTGAACTGGTTCTCTCACCTCTTTCTCACACTCGCATGTTTTCTCTGGATAAGCTCACCTACAACCAGGACCTCACCTAGCCTGCCTACACTGCCATTGCCCAAGTCAGTATCTCTGAGACAACCCATATCCAGTTGTCTATTGGGCATGCCCTCTTGGGCACCCAGTCACAGTCCACCAACGACATACAATTAGTTACGAAAACCAGCAACCAAGAGCACAATCTGCATTCTTCTCCCTTTCTTCTCCCTGAGACATCCGATAAGTTACTAAGTCCTATAATACTACTGCCTACATGTATTTTCTTTCCATTATAATTGTCTGTCTCTAACACTATTGCTCTAAACCAGACACTCAGTATCCTGCCTCGATCACCAACCTTTACCGCTTTCTGGGCTACTGGCCTCTTACTTTGCATTGTTCGAATTCCTCTATCATGATATTTCCAGAGTGAGCTTTCTAATATGCACATCTGATAACGGTGCTTCAGTGGCTCATTATAAATTTGTACCCTAAACTCCTTAGTGTTCTTTCTCACCATTTCCCTGGGACTTCTTTCCATTGATTGCAGGCTATTTATAGTTGCTTGGCTACACCACGCTCTCCTGAGGCTCTGGATCTTTTCACTTCTCCCACTTATGTACTTGATTAACTTTTATGTATATTGTAAATCTCAGCTGTTTCCTAGGTGAAGTCCCCTTTGTCTCCAGCTACACAAACCTAAATCTCCCTGTGGCCCTGGTCCCATGGCACTTATACTCACCACCATTATCCTGCTTCACATCATCCTGTAAGCTGCTTCAAGGCAGGTTCCTGTCTTTTGATCTTTGTGTTCCTAACGACTAAATCAATGTCTGGAACACTGTAAGTGACTACTAGTTGTTTGCTGAGGATGGAATAAGGTTCTCAAGGAAACAGCATATAACGAGATCAGACTTAGGTGGAAGAGTTAACTGTAGAAGGAAGTTAAGATGCTCCTTATCTTGAGCTAAACAGCTATGAGAAGATGCTTGACATTGGTTAAGAAATTTCAATATGGAAAGAAAGAAAACGCAGAGAATTCATGGATAGCCAGGATAAAACAAAACAAAACAAAATAAAAACAAAACCATAAAAAACGGTGCATATATGGAAAGTGAGGGTCTTTCAGGTGGGTCTAGGAACTTGAAAGGCATGGGGAAAGATTCAAAATAGCTGTGAAGATAAACGGGATAGGAAGTCCACTAAGAATGAGTGAAAAGGTTGACAAACAGTGTTGAATACCCTGCTGGGGTGGGATCACATATGGCAGAGAATAAATTAATTCTTTTCACCTAGATAATGCCAATATAGCCTTGAGCATCTGCATTTGAGGGCCAAGAAGCCCTAACCTATTTGATTGATAATTGGACTTTATACTTAAATTATCCAGATTGGCTGCTCAGATAGTCCAAAAACAGTGACTACTAAGTACTTCGTATCCCAGAATGTAATGTGGTGCCTTTGTTAATGTATTATTTGAAAAATTTATAACCTTCCCACTCATGTTATTTTCTTCCTAAAACGCTTAGTTTTCTCAGTGTTTTCGCTATCATGGGACTTTGATAAGAAAAGTTGTGTGGGGGGGAAAAGCTTATCTAAGCTACAAATAAGTAGTGTTTTCACTTTCTTAAATCAGATACTCCTGCTGTCACCTTTGTCATCTTTTATTGCAGTCTCTCTCGCCTTTGAGAAAATGGGACATTGAAATTTATACAAAAATATTACTAAGAATACCTCTTTCCTGAAGAATGAAAATATGTCTTATTGAAGGGAATATGGAATTATTTAATCGACTTACTAGTTTTTCTTCATTACATATTTTCTTACAATATTGTCCACTTTGCACTTTTAATTTGAAGTGATAATATTTCTTGTTGTCTAAATATCAAGTCCATTATGATTTTAAATGGCAGACAACAGAGGATAAGGCAGTGTTTCTCAGGCTGTGGCCTTTGAGTCACCTTCATAGAAGCACGTGGAGTGCTTGATAGAAATACAGGTTCCTGGGCACCGGACCATCCAAATCAGAGTCTGTGGGGACCAGGCCACAAGTGTTCATTATTAATAAGGCTCTACATGGTTCTTATCATAGTCAAGTCTTAGAACCAATGTGCTGGTGATGAAGGGTTTCAGATTTGAAGTCAAACCAACCTGGTCCAAGCTCCATATTTCCCATTGACTAAATGAATGACCTTTTCAGAGAAGCCTTTTAACCTCTACAAACCTCTTTCCTCATTGATGAGGTAAAATAGTACCTACTCTGTAAAAGGTGGTTTTAAAGATAAGATGCAATAGTGCAGACCAGGTGCACACAACCTGGTATGCATGAAGGTTTGATAAAGGTTGTTGTTGATATGCTATGGTTGGAATAGTTATAGATCCTGATGAAATATGTTTCAGTTTGGCCATAAAATGAAGTATTGCCTGTGAAGTCTAAATATTTTCTGCATATGTACTGGTTATTTGTCCAGAGTTCCTCTCTTTACATCCGCAAAATGCTGCTGACTATGAGTAGGTCAGTAGTTTTCAGGTTTTGAGAGTTGAGGTGGCATGAAACCAGTGTAAAAGACATAAGCCCCACATCTTTTGCATCAATTAGGAAAGTTACAGGTTATTTCTAGTTGGTAAATGATAAGTTATTTGAGGAATTTTCAAATAAAAACCCTTTTGATCAATTTTTTTAGGCCCCCAGTGAAAGATTCTCACAAAATGCTTTGCATTTTTAACAAATTATACTTGATCAGACAAATCTGTGCCTCTCTCACATAGGTGTCATCTCTCCTTCCTCATAGCAAGCACCTTGTGACCATATGTCCTATGCATTCTCCTACCCATCACTCTACTGGCACCGATGGTATTTATGTGCCCCACAGCCACCATCCTGTGTTAGGTAAATGTATTTACTCAGTAAGGAACATGAGTTTCTGAAGACTGCCATGACAGACTGCCGATGGCACACTGAACAATGCTATGCACTCTTGTTTCATGTTTTCATTAAGCTGAGGCTTCATCCTGAATACCTGATTTCTCAGGAGAATAAACCACATTCAAATGGACTTACACTGCAAAATGAGGATGAACAAATATTTTATCAAGATTACAAATATAATAGTAGGTATTAGTCAGCCCATAGGCAGTTTGAAATCAAGTCCTTCATATAGATGTAAGCTTCTCTTCTGTTCCTCAGTCATGCTTCTGGGGTAAGTGATGTAGGCTTTTCCTCAACAACTGTTTTCATATCACTTAGGAATGCCTTTGGGTGGTCAACACACCATGCAACATCTATGTATTATAGAATTGTACACTTGAAACCTATGTAATGTTATTAACCAATATCAGCTCAATGGATTTAATTTACAAAAAGGAATGTCTTTAACTGCAAGTAAACAGTAA